AAAGAAACAGATTTGTGACTTTGGGGGTGGGGTGGGCACACAATGCAATATACAGATGATGTATCATAGAACTGTACACTTGAAATCTATATAATTTTATTAACCAATACCACCCCTAATAAATTTAATTTCCCCTCTCTCCCCCAAAACATAGTAAGAGATATAGGAAAGTACCCTCTTGATGATTATTATCAGTTGAGTATATAAAGGGTGTCCCCCAAAATGTGTACATACACATTGAATTATTATAAAGGCAGTGTTTATTCAAATACATTTCATTTTCAAAATTGAGCTATCAGCTGTTAAAGTATGTTACATTTTGGGGGGACACCCTGTATATGCTTCCAGAACTCCATTGTACAGACATACATATGTGAACATACAGAAATACACCCTTTCATTCTGGGTGGCTGGGATGGAGATTTTAACACTAATGCTGTTGTTCTGGAGTTGTTTGGAGCCTTTGCCTGCTCAGCACATGGGATATAGAGCTGTGTCCGCAGCACAGGATAGACCAGACTTTCTGTTTTGTTGTTGTAGCGCCCTTCCCTTTCCCCTGGACATTTATAGGATTATCACCTATTACCTCGTAGATAATGCTCCAGGAACATCCTTATGCCTGCTTCCCTGCACACACGGGCAAGTGTTTCTCTGAGGATAAAGACCAACAAGTGTGATTGCTGGGTTGCAGGGTGCGTACATGAAAATTTAATTAGATTCTGCCAAGTCACCTTTCCAAAGAGGCTGTGCCAATTTCTACTTCACTAGTCATATGTGAGATGACCCAACCTCACCAGCACTTAATAATGTCTACCTTTTCAAGGTATAATCACTTTTCCCAATTTATTTTAAGTAAGTATATGTAGAGTTATATGTATGTATGTATGTGCGTAAGTTTTTAATGAAAAAACAGCAGGATCTACCTCCCAGAGGCAGCCACTGGCAACTCTTCTAAAGCCACTCTCTCTGGTGTTTATCTTCATATTTATGAATACTATTCCTCTACTGCTACTTCTTAACTTCCCACTTATAGAAATTATTCGCTGGCTTCCGTGGGTGAATACCTACTCTCCCACATGTACACCCATCACCCAATATCACTTTATTACACATTTTGGATAAATAGTTGGTATTTATATTGTAATGACGATGGAAGTATTACTCACTGCTAAGCCAAGTAACATTACTTAGCTTCATTCTTGTGCAACCTTCCAGTACTCCTAAGTTAATGATGGCCCCGGTTTTTCATTCACTTTATTTCTATTACTTAGCGTTAGTGTCCTATAGGAGCCTTCAATTAACAACTCTGCCAAAGGCCTTTCCATGGTATTTTCCAGATGCTCGAGCTCATCAGTGCCATTTCTTCTTCCCGGAGCCTCTCAGGAGTCCTCCCTCCTGTGCTCTGAGCCGGCTGGGCTCTCCCTTCATGCTGCACTGTAGTCCTGAAACTCCTCTTCATACCCTCCAGTGCTGGGTGACCTGCTCCTTGTCCGGATAGCCCATGTTTCTCCTCCCTCCCCCCCCCCCCCCCCCCCCCCCCCCCCTCTCTCTCTCCCCCC